GCGCTTCCACGAGCACGTGCGGCCAGCGGATCGAAGAGCAGAGGGAATCATAGTCACTGTCGTTGTCAAGATCATGATCGTGACCAACATCGTCACCGACGCCATTCAGAACATAGTGATCCTCGTCGTCACCATCGTCATCAGATTCCGCATCATCGTCGCAATGAGTATCGTTATTAACACCATAATCATCACTACCACCATCATCGCCATCAGCATCACCATTATCGTCGTCATGATCACCATCACAATCACCATCGTCGACATCGTTACGCGAACGCTCTCTCGCGTGACTTACCCTGCGCTACTATCGGAGCCCTCTGGCAGCCCTCCGAGGCTGCGCTGCAGGGCCGGACGAAGATCTCGGAAGGGCTCCAGGAAGACCCAAAGAGGGCTCCAGAGGGCCTTCGAGAACAGCGATAGGTAAGTCTCGCGAGCGCTCTCTCGCGTGACTCAACTTGCACTGCTGTGGAAGCCCTCTGGGAGCCCTCCCAGGCGGCGCTGGAAGGCCCCAAGAAGCTCTGGGAAGGGCTCCAGGAGGGCCCGAAGATGACCCCCTAGAACATGGAAAGGTAAGTCACGCGCGCGCTCTCTCGCGTGGCTGCGTTGTCACTGCTATTGGAACCCTCTGGGAGCGCCCCCACGCCGCGATGGAGGAGCCCAAGGGGGTCTCGAAGGAACCTCAGGAAAGCCCCTTCCCAGGACCCAACGGGCCTCGTGTGCCGTCTTGGGGCCCCCAAGGGGCTGTATTGGCACCTTCGTGTAGGGCCTCTGGCCGTCTTAGAGCGTGGAGGAGCCAGAAAGGCGGAACGGTGATCACTGCAAAGAAGACTTCATAACACTCAACTGACTTCGTTCATCGGGGCCGTCGTGGGGGTGCGCTTGGAAGCAAATTGGGTCGTCTTGGAGGCCTGATGGGCCGTGGGAAAGCCTTCGGGGCGTGTGGAGCGCCTCTGTAAACGATTCGGATGGTCTTAAGGGGCCTCTGGAAGCTACCTTGGGCCGTTTTGGGGCCGTCTGGGACGCCTCTGGAGCACCTCGCGTGCCGTCTTGGGGCCCGTGGGGGCTGTGTTGGCACCTGCGTGGGAGCGTCTGAGGCGGTCGTGGGGCGAGCTCGGGGAGCTCTGGGGACGCCATAAAGAACTCATACGCAACAAATGAATGTTGCTTCTCGGCGCCGTCGTGGAAATTCTCTTGGAAGCATCTTGGACCGTCTTGGAAGCCTATTGGGCCGTGGGGAGGCCATCTGGGGCTCGTTGGGTGCCTTTTTTAGCGATTGAAGACGTTCTTGGAGCGTGTCGGGAGCCTTGGGGAGCTCTCCTGGGGCCTCTGCGGGCCGCCTTGGACGCCCTACGAGCGCCTCGGGGGACGTCTTGGGCCCCCCCAAGGGCTGCATTGGCACCTTCTTCAGGCGGGCGCCTGAGGCGATCCTGGGGCGACTTTTGGGGGGCTCGTGGGCCGCCTTAGAGCGTGGAGAAGCTATATCTACATACGCGCACAAGCCGTATGTAGACATGTATGTATGTATGTATGCATGCATGCATGTATGTATGCATGTATGTGTGTATGTATGTATGTGCGTGGATGTGTGTATGTGTGCATGTATGTATGTATGTATGTATGCATGCATGTGTGTATGTATATAAGTAAGTGAGTAAGTAATTAAGTAAGTAATTGAGTAAGTAAATAAGTATGTATGTATGTATGTATGCATGTAAGTATGTATGTGTGTATGTGTGCATGTGTGCATGTATGGATGCATGCATGTATGCATGTATGTTTGTCTGTCTGTCTGTATGTATGTATGTATGCATGTATGGTTGTATGTGTGTATGTATGTGTACAGCTATGTATGCATGCATAGATATATGTATGTATGTATGCATGCATGCATGTATGTATGTATGTATGTATGTGTGGGTATGCATGTATGTATGTATGTACGTATGTATGTAAGTATGCATGCGTGTATGTATGTATGTATGTACGTGTGCATGTATGTGTGTATGTATGTATGTATGTATGTATGCATGTGTGCATGTATGCATGTGTGTATGTATGTATGTGTACATGCATGCATGCATGCATGCATGTATGTATGCAGGTGTGAATGAATGTATGTATGTATGTAGGTATGTATATATGTATGTATGTGTATGTATGTATGTATGCATGTATGTATGCATGTTTGTACGTATGTATGTATGTATGTATATATGTATGTATGTATATACATATGTATGTATGTATGTATGTATGTAGTTATTTATGTATGTATGTATGTATGTATGTATGTATGTATGTATGTATGTATGTATGTATGTATGTGTGCATGTGTGTATGTGTGTATATGTGTATGCGTATGTGTGTATGGATGCATGCATGCATGTATGTATGTATGTATGCATGATTGCAACTATACTTACGTACATACAGACATACCTACAGACATACATGCATTCATGCATGCATACATACATGCGTACATAGACACATGCGTACTACATATACTTTGACTCCAGTTTTGAAACAAGAACCCATGAACGACAAACAACACGAACGTCAGGGATTGTTGGTTCCTGGGGCTCTCGCGGGAGTGCTCTTGGAACCATATTGGGGCGCACTGGAAGCCTGTTGGGCCGTGAGGATGCCATCTGGCGCGTATTGAGCGGCACTGTTAGCGCTTCGGGACGTTCTTGGATCGTCACGGAGGCCTCTTGGGGCTCTCTTGGCCCGTCTGGGAGCAGTCTGGGACGGCTCTGGGGCCGTTGAGAAATGGCCCCGGAGGCCCAGAGCCCCCACCGAGAGTAGAGGCAGCTGGCTGGGAGCCGCCGACCATACATCCCTCCTCCGTCCCCTCCGCGACGGCCGCGAACAGCGAGCATGTCCAAATCCGTGCCCTCGCGGTCTGGCTACCACGGCGCGAATCCATGGATACGCGTTCCCACGGGCACGCGCCGCGCGGGGCATCTGCGTGAGACCGCCTGAGACCCATGGAGTCGAACCCGAGGATCGGACCGGACGAACGGGGGGGAGAAAGGGACGGGGTAGCAAATCAGCTCACATAGCTTATTTTCCTGGCGCTTCCCAGCGCCCATGGCGGCCATGCATGGAGCAAAGCGCCTGGCGGCGGGGCCGAAACCAGCTGCGGCTGGGGGGAAGGAGGAAGATGAAGAGGACGAGGATCAGCACGTGGTTGGAGAGCGCAGCAGATTAGCTCCGCTCAGGCCCTGTATCCCTCTGTTGGGACTGGGCTTCTGTGATTCTGGCTGCTTCTGCGGCAAGCAAATCCTGGAGCCTGAGAGAGAGGCTCAGGTTATGTCGGGCGTGTCCCCCTACAGGAGGATGTTCGACGAAAAATAAAACATACCCCTAAACATGCCCCAGATAAGTAAACAAGTACTCAAAAAATAGTCTCCAGACTATGTTTGGACTATTTTTGAATATTCCCCCTGTAGAGGGACAGGCCAGACGTAAGGCTCAGGAAAAGAGAGGGGGAACGGACAGAGGACGTCGGGTTTTGTCCCCGCGCAGAGAAGGCTGCACTGCGTCTCGTCCCCCGCTCTCTTGAAACCTTGGCAGCTCTCTTTGAGCTCTTCTCGCACATTCGATTCACTGTACAGTGCGGGCGCGGCCACAAGAAACCCTCGCAAGAAACCCAACCTTGAAAGCCCGCGCGCGAGGTGCTCCTGAGGGGAAACCCAGAGCACCCTGAACGCACCAGCTCCTTCAACGGCAGCGGGAAGTCACCGCGCAGCTCGCGGAGCGAAGGAAACCCAGAATGCCCTGACGAACATCATATGGTTTCTTGATGCGCACCCCTCCTCCTCCCCCTCCTCCTCCTCCTCCTCCTCCTCCTCCTCGTCCTCCTCCTCCTCCTCCTCCTCCTCCTCCTCCTCCTCCTCCTCCTCCTCCTCCTCCTCCTCCTCCTCCCCCTCCTCCTCCTCCTCCTCCTCCTCCTCCTCCTCCTCCTCCTCCTCCTCCTCCTCCTCCCCCTCCTCCTCCTCCTCCTCCTCCTCCTCTTCCTCCGCCTCCTCCTCCCCCGCTCTCTTGAAACCTTGGCAGCTCTCTTTGAGCTCTTCTCGCGCACTCGTTTCACCGTATCTCCCGCAGCAGGGACACATCATCACACACTTCAGACTCCGCGTTTGGCGGGCAGCAACACACTTGTGGCCCTCGGGCCCTGGGGGTCCGAGGCTCTATCTGGGATAACTGTCAGTGGTAGCTCCTGCGGGCCTCCTCCTTGCGCGACGCATACCTTCGGTCAGAACATCTGGCCTTACAGAGAGTACGCAGCCATTTCTGGGACCCATCGCTCCTCTCCCACGAGTGGAGAATTCTCTGGAGACTCTGGAGCTTCCAGATCTGCCTCCCGTGGCCTCGAAGACGTTCCAAGACGGTCCCGAATCGCCGACCGATTGGCCCTAGACGCCTACGTACGATGGCTCCAATACGACCCAAGACGCCTTCGAGACGCCCCCAAGAGAGGCCCAAGAGCCTTCACAAGAGGGCCCCGAGAGGCAAACATCAATGGTTTTCTCAAGGTTGTCCTTTGTTTCTGGCTTCCGACGCTCCAAGACGGCCCAAGAGACCCCGCAGGCCGCCCCGACACTGCCCCAAGAGGCCAGTACGAGGGCCCCAGGCCCAAGAGGGTTCCAAGACGGCCCAAAGAGGGACCCAAGGCGGCCCCAAGAAAGGTCAAGTGGGAGAACGCGAACCGAGAATCCAATCTTTCCACCCCCTGAGGCCCCCACAAAGGCCCCAAGAAGCCCCCAAGCAGCCCAAAAGAGGCCCACAAGAAGCCCCAAGAGGCCAGCCCGCAAAAGACCCTAAAGGCCCCAAAGAGGCCCCAGAACGGCTTCCAAGACGCGTCAAACTTGCCTCCAAGAGGCTCCACCAGGCCCCCAAACCCAAGACGTCCACAACAATCCCCAACCCAAGAAGCCTATGGCGCCTCAACCGTGGACTCCCCGCCTCTTCAACGCGAAGCGCCCACAAGCCTTCAACGGGTTCGAGCTCACGGCCTTGCGCTTCGCCGCTGCCGGCAGGCCAAAGCCTGAGCGGAAGGTGCCCGGTTTCACGAGAGGCGCGGGGAGAATGGAGAGAGGGAGAAAGGGAGAGGGATGAAGGGAGAGGGGCAGAGGGAGGGAGGGAGGGAGGGTTAGACTATCTGTGAGGACGGGCTCTGCTGTGGACGCCCGTATCAGCTGGGACTTCGCTCCCAGGATCTCTCGCTCTGGGGCTCTGAGGATTCGAGGAGAGACCAACCACAGGAGGGGGGGGGAGGAGGAAGGAAGATTGAGGGAGGAGGAGTTGGACGAGGAGGATCCCGCCCGTCCTCGCCAGGCGTCTCGGCAACATCACACCGTACATGCTTTCGCTCTCTTGCCAGCTCGCTTGTTCCGAAAAATCGAGTCCTGCAAGAAGGCACATCGAAATCCATTAGGCTTCAACTGGCCCAATAGTCCCAGAACCTCCGGCGCTAGAATCAGCTCCAGGCATTCGAGGGACAAGTGCCAACAGAACCACGTACCCGAAGCGAATGGGGGATGGGGAGTGGTCAGAGGAGCATGCGGAGTGGGCACGATGGGATCGGCAAGGATGACGAGAGCATAAGGAGTTCACTTCTCCAGAGGCTCAAGCACAACCAATAGCAATGCTTTCGGAACCAGCTGGGGTACTTCTAGTAGCCAGCACCGTGGAAGCTAAAAAACAACGGGTTCGGATGAAGTGAACAATGACGAAGAAGGGCGTTCCAGAAGCAGGTAAGGGGTGTGGAAGCTACAGATGTGGATTCGGAGGTTTGGGAGCCTCTGAGGACACATTCAGCTTGCGAGGACGCGGGTGCATCTGAGAGAAGGCAGGGGGAAGGAGGGCACCGAGCACAGCGGCCCACGCGGCAGCAAGCGGCGCCATCACGCTGAGTTCGCGACACCAGCTGGAACGACAAGCTGAGTTCGCGGGCTGCGCTGCTGACCCTTGAACCCAAAATCTGCAGCATGCACCTTCCCTCTGCTCCCCTCTCCTCACCCTCCTCCTGACATCGGAAAGGACCCTCAGGCAAAAAAGTCACTGGCGTCCGCTGGCAGCGTCAAGAATGCAAGGGGCCTCCAAAGCCAGACGTGCCTCGACCACGCGCCTGACAGCGATGCGAGCGCCCACGCGCCAGCCCTCGTCGATCGGGTCCTGCGCCTTTCCCCCACGACGCGGGTGGAGGGCCAGCCGCTTCTACAAAAAATGCGGTTCTCTCGCCACGCCGCCGCGCACACCTGCCGCAGAAGCTGCGGGCAGCTGCACGGACAGTGACGGGTCTGCTTTCCACCACCACCCTCATCAGTTGGAGGGGGGAAGGAGGAGGAGGAGGAGGAGGAGGAGGACGAGGAGGAGGAGGAGGAGGAGGAAGAGGAGGAGAAGGCCCCCACGACGCTTTGGACTTGGGGGCCAATGATCCACTCTGCTCGAGAAGAACTCGAGGGGTGCGGCGGGCTTTCGGCCGGAAGGCGGTCGGTGGCCGCCCGAGATGGGCACGGAAAGAATGGGTACACTGCCCAACAACAAATGTTGTCCCAAACCGACAGCGGCCGCTGTTGGGCAGGCGGCCTTCTGCCTCGAATGGACACAGGCCGCGGCGGCGTGGACAGCGAATCCCGCTCAAAATGGACAGGAATTGTTGCGGAGAAGGAGAGGAGGAGGAGGAGGAGGAGGAGGAGGAGGAGGAGGAGGAGGAGGAGAGGAGGAGGAGGAGGAGGAGGACCCCCTCATGATCCACTCTGCCCTCGAGAGGAACTCGATGGGTGCGGCGGGCTTTCAGCCGGAAAGCGGTCGGTGGCCGCCCGTGGGCCCGGCGCGGTCGCCCCCGCGGCCGCCCCCGCGGCCGCCCCCGTGGCCGCCCCGTGGCACCCCCCGAGGCCGCCCCTGTGGCCGACCGTGGCCGCACGTGGCACCACACGGCTCGCACGCAAGCGGCTCGCTCCACGCGGCGTTCTCCCCGACCGGCGCAGACCGAACGGCTCGCACCGCATACGCAGCTCCCACCACACAGCTCCTGCTCCTGCTCCTCCTCCTCCTCCTCCTTCTCCTCTCCTCCTCCTCCTCCTCCTCCTCTTCCTCCTCCCTCCTCCTCCTCCTCCTCCTCCTCCTCCTCCTCCTCCTCGTACTCCTCCTCCTCCTGCTCTCCTCCTCCTCCTCCTCCTCCTCCTCCTCGTCCTCCTCGTCCTCCTCGCCTCCTCCTCCTCGTCCTCCTCCTCCTCTCGTCCTCCTCCTCCTCCTCCTCGTCCTCCTCGCCCCTCCTCCACCTCCTCCTCCCCTCCTCGTCCTGCTCCTCCCCCTCCTCCTCCTCGTCCTCCTCGTCCTCCTCGCCTCCTCCTCCTCCTCCTCCTCGTCCTCCTCCTCGTCCTCGTCCTCGTCCGTCCTCGTCCTCGTCCTCGTCCTCGTCCTCTGTCCTCCTCCTCCTCCTCCTCCTCCTCCTCCTCCTCCCTCCTCCTCCTCCTCCTCCTCCTCCTCCTCCTCCTCCTCCTCCTCCTCTCCTCCTCCTCCTCCTCCTCCTCCTCCTCCTCCTCCTCCTCCTCCTCCTCCTCCCTCCTCCTCCTCCTCCCTCCTCCTCCTCCTCCTCCTCCTCCTCCTCCTCCTCCTCCCTCCTCCCTCCTCCTCCTCCTCCTCCTCCTCCCTCCTCCTCCTCCTCCTCCTCCTCCTCCTCCTCCTCCTCCTACTCCTCCTCCTCCTCCTCCTCCTCCTCCTCCTCCTCCTCCTCCTCCTCCTCCTCCTCCTCCTCCTCCTCCTCCTCCTCCTCCTCCTCCTCCTCCTCCTCCTCCTCACACACCACACCTCACATACTCCTCCTCCTCCCCTCCTCTCCTCCTCCTCCTCCTCCTCCTCCCTCCTCCTCCTCCTCCTCCTAGTCCTGCTCCTCCTCCTCCTCCTCCTCCTCCTCCTCCTCCTCCTCCTCCTCACACGGACCGCACCACGTGGCCGGCGCCACGCAGCTCAGGCCGCATGGCTCACACCACGCACACGCAGCTCCCACCACACATAGAGGAACAAAGAGTGACCTAAACATAAAACCTCGGAGGTCCGCGCGGATCTCTCGGATCGGCGTTGGGGCCCCCCGGCGGCGCCTCCGGCGCCGCCCCTGGCGCGCTCCGCGCGCCAGGGAGGGGGGTCCAGCGACGATCCGAGAAATCCGCGCGGACCTCCGAGTTGTTATGTTTATGTGACTTTGTGTTCCCCTAACATAGCTCGCCTCACACGGACTGCACCACGTGGCCGGCGCCACGCAGCTCAAGCCGCATGACTCACACCACGCAGCTTGCACCGCAGAGCTTTCACTGGCACGGTGCAGGATCCCACGGTTTAGGGGTCCGCGCTGGCTAACGTGCGCCAGCTCCTCTTCTGCCGAGGAGATAGCCGTGCCTCCCACGGCCCATCGAGCCCAACACGCGTCCACCAGTGGCACCACGCCCCTCCCTGATTCTTCCTCCGCGCGAAAGCATGTGCCGCAAATCAGGTGTCCAGGGGGGTGGGCCTGTGGGATCCCCGCCCACTCTCCCCTCCACGGGGCGCCCCTCCCAAGCGCGGTGGCGGAGTCGCCCGGCAGGGCAACGGGACAGGCACAACCAAACAGTATGTGATGTGTATGATGCTGATGATGATGAGGATGAGGAGGAGGAGGAGGAGGAGGAGGAGGAGGAGGAGGAGGAGGAGGAGGAGGAGGAGGAGGAGGAGGAGGAAGTGATGAGGAGGAGGAGGAGGAGGAGGAGGAGGAGGAGGAGGAGGAGGAGCAAGAGCGAGTCTGAAGTGCCGCCCTGGGCGGCACGCCGGCCGCCGCCGGCCGCAGCCCCCCCCCCCTGTCGCGCCGCCGACGGGGGCGGAGACGCTGGCGCTCCGCCGCGCCGCGAACCAGCTCCCCTGCGACAGCCCCGCTCGGGAAGGGGCGGCGGCGGGGAGGGGGCGACCAGCGCGGCAGCGAAACCGACGACGACCACGAGGCCGACGGCGCCGACGGAACCGACGACACCGACGGTGAACAAAGACAACGACGGCGACGACGAAACCGGCGACTACGACACCGATGACGACGAGCTGACGACGACGACGACGACGTCGACGACTGCTGGCGGAACGTAAAAGGGGGTGGGGAAGGCGTCCTCTTCTGCGTGGGGGGGGAGGGGGGGTTGGTCCTGGAATCGACGCGACGCCAGATTCATCGATCTACCAATCATGTGACGACGAATTGCTTCAGAGACTTGGCTGGTAGCTGAGACGTCCGAGCCGAAATCTGATGAATTGAACTCGGGGTGAGCACGAGTCGAACTGAGTTGAGATATGATTTGGCTAGCTCTGGTTCGTGGGAATGACTGGATATGTGATTTGACTGGTTCGTTGCTTAGCTGTCCGATTGGCCGGTTGATTGCGTGGTTGTTGGGTTGGTACATTGACCGGCTGAGATCCATTCGATGGGCAGTACAGCTGGTCGTCGTGGCGATGCCACTCTAACCCGGAGCAAAAAGACACCCCACCACTGAGCTGAGATATCAAGGAACAACATCGCATGTAGCATGATGTGGTATCAATACGGGAGGAACATACACAGTGGGATGATGAGGAAGGACTGCGTATAGAGGGGGATGGGCGACGCCGTAGAAACACGATAGTACCACTCAAGTAACCTGTCAAGCGGGCACATCTGCAAACACGGGAATACATGAATGTGTTCATTGCTCTCTCTCTCTCTCACAGAATTTGTCTCCAGATCTCTACGAATGGAAGAAACATGCATAGATGGAGAAAGAAGAAGGAAGAGGAAGGATGCAATGAGAGGTGGGCATGGCGCACGCAAGCCTAAAGTGCTTGCGCATCTGATGGAGAAACACAGCAATGAATTATATGCCGAAAGCGGAAGGAGAAGCGGGAATGGTGGAGAAGCAAGCACATGGGGGCAAATAGGGAGATTTGGGGAGCTGGAGCGGGCAATTGGGAAGCGGGAGGGGGGGCGGGGAAGGCGAGGCCACGGGGATGGGGCATGTAGGAGCAGGGCCTAAATTCTCGAAACGAAAACTGCCACCCGCAATCCAAGCACAGAACTAGCACCCAAAAACCAATATGGGAAACAAACGCGACTCCATTGACTGCCACGGAAAGCCAATATGGTTGCCAGGTGCGCAAGGCGTACTTGACGCTCCACGAGCAACAGAGTACGCAGGGTGCGCCAGGCGAGCAAGGTGCGGCGCGCCAGGTACACTCGGCAACTCAGGTGCGCCAGCTTCGCTTGACGGGTCAGGTGCCCCAAGAGGGAACGGAGGTGAGGATAGGCGAGAGGAGGGGAACGAATTCACTTTAAGCCTACCTGCAGCTCGCATAAAATGGGCAGGGGGGATGGGTTGGACTGGACTTGGGGTGTGGGATCAAGCTTTAAGCTTATCGCCTATCCGCCGCATGCAACTCAGTCCTGGTCCTTCTCTGCCCACCTGTCTACCACAACATACCACAACGCCCTGGATAAGGGTAGCAGTCGAAGGATTGCATTGCCTTTGGACGACTAGCACAACGGTGCCAGCCCCATTTGTTTTACAGCCAGCCACCTAGCCAATCTGCAGCACACAGCTTACCTCTCGCTCTACCTCCACCTCACTCTTACCTGAGCAAGGGTTGCAGCCCCAAGTGTTCAATACTTTGGGATTGCTTGCACTTACTGTGCCAGCCCCACGTCCTTTCAGCCAGCCACTTCAAGCCGACCTGCGGCACACATAACATGGACTTGAGGGATGGGTCGGGCATGGCGGGGTCGGGGTAGGATGTTTACACGAGCAAGGGTAGCACTAACTTGGGGAAAGCCAGTACTAAGTGTGTCTGCCCCACACCTTCTCTGTCAACCACATTAAACCAGCCTGCTGCATACCGTCCCTGCATCTACCGATAGACGGGATACGCTGCACACTCTGCTCTCCCTGCTGGCCTCAGTCGGCCAACTTGCCCAGCCTTGCACTTACTCGGCTATCCGACGTGCATTTTGAGGGGCACGAAGGTGGATGGGGTTGGTGGCATACTAAGGTCAGGATAGCGGAACCCTCCCACCTGGCACGCGCCTACTCAATTTCCGACTCTTCACCGCACTCCTTTTCTTTCAGCTGCTGCGGTGCCTGCCAGGTGGATTGCCTGCACCTCTTCGCGCCAAGTCGGTGCTTCACTGACCTGTCCTTCACGAAGCCCGAGCAGCGTAAAAAGGGGAGAGAGAGTTGAGAGGGGAGCGCGCAGCATGCAGTGCGGAACGCTGCCTCCACTTGGCGGCCTGAAGCTACACAGCAACATTACTTCTTGTGCCTTCAGGCGTCGCCCCACCCAACCCTTTCACCCTTCGTCTCCCCTCACTTCTGGATGTATCCCTCTGCGCTCCCGCGTCCCCCCTACCTCCCTCCCTACTCCAGCCCTCTCCCTCCCACGCTCGTTCCGCGTCCGCTTCGCGACCGCCTCGGGTCTTCCAGACCTCGCCCACGGGGGGGCGCCTCCCCCCCCGCCGCCTTCCGCTCGTTCGGTCGAAACTTGAGGCAACTGGTTGCAGCAGCCCATTCCAAGGGAGAAACAGCAGAGGGGAAAATACATTAGGAGGTCCAGACGCCAGGTGGCCGAGCCCCGAAACATCGGTGCAGTGCCGTCGTCCGTGGTCCGTCCGCTGCTCTCTCGGTTTCCTCCTCCTCCTCCTCCTCCTCCTCCTCCTCCTCCTCCTCCTCCTCCTCCCATTCCTCCTGCCATTTTCTGTATGATAGTGGGCGGGGTCGCTCGAGGTGCGGAGGCTCGGCCTCGAAATGCACAGCCGCGGGATGCCGCAGTCCCCGCGCGTTCGCCCTGTAGAGCGTGCGATGGCTTTGCCACTTCCCAGTTGGTCGGCCTGGGCAAGCGCTGCACCTCGGTCATCGCACCCACCAGGAGAGAGCACCTGGACCGCAATTAGTTTCCAGGGGTGTGTGTCCCGAAGCTCCAGAGTGCATCCGAGATGCGCTCCAGATGCCACCATGTGTAACTCTCTCACGTTTTGCAGGCACTCATTGCCCCTATCACATGTAGGGAATCGAACTCTATACACCGACGCCTTTTCCGGCCTACATTGGAATTTGCACTGGAGAGGGGATCCTGGTGTATACGAGACCCTGGTGCATACATTTTTCGTTATTTCCCCAGGACATCGGGGACAAAACGTATACACCACACCACCCCAGCGTCGTCCACGACCCTCAAGAAGTCCTGGAACTGAGCAGCAGCCCGCCACTGGTAGTGCACATGTTCCAGTGTCCGAATTGCCTCTATCACATGGCCACACTCATCTTCATCGTCCCGGCCGTATATGTTCCAGATTCCGAATTGCCTGTATCGCATGGCCACACTCCTCTTCCTCGTCCCAGCCGTATATGTTCCAGATTCCGAATTGCCTCTATCACATGGCCACGCTCTTCTTCCTCGTCCCGGCCGTACATGTTCAGTGTCCGAATTGCCTCTATCACATGGCCACGCTCCTCCTCCCCCTCCTCCCCCTCCTCCTCCTCCTATCTATCTGTATATCGCCTTAGGCGCGCGACAATGTCAGCGGCGCCTGAACAGACAAAGGGACCAGCCCTGGAATATCCGAGCAACGCCCCCGAACCGATCACTCATCATCGGGAAGAGGCTCCGGCTCCGAACGCTTCCAAGCTTCGAGCTGCTCAGACGAGACCCCAAAGCGTCTCAACAAATCCTCGCGCGACCACCTGGGACCCCAGACAGGCTGCACTGGCAGGCGGGAGGACCGAGCCATCGCTCCACTGAGACCACGAGGGGCGGCAAGGGAGAGCAAGTCCGCGGCAGAGGGCTCCGACAAAGGCCCGAGACGCCAGCCCTTTATAAGGGCCGCCCCAGGACGGGAAAACACCCCCCCAGGCCCAAGCGAGCTGGCGCCTCGTGTGCTTAGTGGGTGGCTTCGTCGCACACGGCTTAGACAGTGACTGGGCAGCGGCCCACGCATAACCACCACAGGCGATGCAAACCATGCACCTGGGTCCTGTGAGAACAGTAGCACCATTCTCATCAAACACGGACGCGACTCGCAACTGGTGCCCAAGAAGCTGCAGCAGCAGCGACAACTCGGAATCCTGAGCGCCACAAGTCACGGGAGGGCTCTGGAACTTAAACCTGCCCCTGGAGCCCGAGACAAGAGAAGCGGCAGGCACGCGGCCTGGCAGACAACGCGCGAGGGCGCGCCTCGCCTGGCCTCCGTCGTCTTCGGCTGGCCCAGGGAGGTCGGCCGCATCACGGAGAGATCCTTGCGCAATCGTCACCTCCTGGGCCCCTGCCCAGACGGCGCACGCGCGCGAGAGCCGAACCAGACCTTTGATGTCGGCCGCGGCCGCTGTCGCGTCGGGGTGACAGCCCGCACCGCGGCGGGCGAAACGGTCGGCATGGCCGTTGCCCTTCCTCTCCCACTCCGTCGTCCTCCCCGCGTCCACGTCCCCCTGGGTCGCATGACCCTTAGTCTTGTGGGCCACGAGGCCCGAATCGAACCTCTGAAACACCCTCGTCCAGAGATGGGCCCGAGAATTCGACGAATCAAGAGCGAACGACGGCGAGTTACAACAATCGACCGTGCCCTGGCAGTCGATATAAAACTCTACGGGCTCTTGGACGCACGCGCATGAGACAAATATCGCAGCATCCTCCCCATCCCGCGCCTGCTGGAAGGGTGCGAGGTCAGCGGGCACAGCACCGTACGCGCAGGCGAGGAAACTCCCCCACTCGTCAGTCATCACTAACGACCAACCCGCACGACGGCTGAATTCACAATCTGGGTGGACCGCCGAGCCGTCCGAAAAGACAATCCCGCTCAAGAGCCCCGAGGCAGGGCGATTAACCCAGAAGATCTGAAACTCAGGGTCAAACGAATAGAGCGGGGCAGGCGGAAGGTCGATAGGACTAGGAAAAATGCCACACGCAGCGAGCTCGCACTCCTGACCCCGAGACTCCACCTGCCTCAACGCAGCAAGAACTCGGGAATCGCATAGGTCACGGCGGCACGCTGACCAGGCAGGGCACGACACTCGACGATGAAAGAGCGTTCCAGCTTCGCCGTGGCAGGCCAAACACGTCCCAGACTCGGTGATTCCGTGATCGCACTGCTTTTGCTGGGTCCAACTGGCCATTGAGACAATAAACCTCAAAGCGCTCTGGTGATGATCGGACCGGACAGCATTTTTCTTCCCCTCCAGGGCTTGACGCAGAGGCTTCCAGAAAATCGGCCTGAGCCAAGCGCCCGACCTCTGGTGGCGAGACAGCGCCACCACATCCGAACGGGCTAAGGCAGCTCGCTCAGCTAGCATCCTGACCTGGCTCGGAGCAACCCTGAGGAGGTCCAGCCTCTCTCCTCTCTCAGAAACGAAGAACCGAGCAGAATCCCCCATCCACCCCAGCTCAGAGAGGGAGAGAAGCAGGACGTGGGCAGGCGAGCACGCCACCCCCCAAGGGCTCTTCGACGCCTGGAGGTGGGAACGGGCGTGCTCAAAACACTTTTGCAAAATCGCCAAGCTCGGGGAACCTTCCCAGACGGCCCTGGCCCACATAAAGATCACCGAACCGTGATACAACTTTGCAGGGTCGATCTGCGCTCCGAGAGAGCAAGACAGCAAACGGAGCCCAACAGATGAGGTCTGCTTTTTCTTGAAAAGGCTACGCACCGCCTGGAGCCTCAAGTTATGCAATCCCCGACCCGTCAGACCCATCACCGCCGCCCCCACAGACTCCCAGCTTGAGGCCCCGAGCGGTGCACTGAACCTATCCTGGCGCCGGCCTCACGAAGCTTGCGCAGACGGCTGGATCGACGAAAACCTTTGAGAAGCCTGCGCCTCGCTATCGGGGCCCGCCTGCGCCCTACACTCGCTGCGTCTGTCCCCAAATTACGAGCAACCCCCTTCCGACGAAACCCAAGAGCCCTCCAAACGTCGGACAGACGATCAGCAACGGCCTTGCACGAGGCCAGGAAAAAACTTTTCGAAACCTCCAGACGCAGGCGGAGGCGCGCAAAGCCACTGGCCAAGCGAATGCCTACTGCTCCCAGCTGCTCGCTGACGTGGGACACGGTGCCGATGCTCTGCGCCGACACGTCGTCCACCACGTTGCGCAGCACCACCGAGGGATGGTCCCGCTGGGTGTCCACGAAGAGCTGATACAGCAGCACCTTGATCATCGTCGTGGCCAAGCTGCAACCTGCCAAGACCGTGCCGTCGGGCACCGCGAACACCGCACTGCAGCAATCCTGGAAAGTGATCGCCCTCGGCCCGCTGTACAGAGCGCAGGCGGCACGCATCACCTTCAAGTTGAACTGGACAGCTGCTGCCTGCTCGCCGAGCTCCTGGTGCGAGACGTATTCGTACGCCTTCTTCCCTCCTCCTCCTCCTCCTCCTCATCCTCCTCCTCCTCGCCCCTCTCCTCGTCCTCCTCCCCGTCCTCCTCCTCCTCCTCCTCCTCCTCCTCCTCCTCGCGGCCTTCGGCGGGGGCCCCGCGGAGGCCGCCGGCTCGGCGGCCCACACCGGCGGCGCTGGAACCGCGGCCGCCGCGGCCGAGCCTGCCGGCGGCGGAGCAGCGAGGGGGGGGGCAGGCACGAGGGCGCGGGCACGCAGACACCTCCTCCTCCTCCTCCTCCTCCTCCTCTTCCTCGTCCTCCTCCTCCTCCTCCTCCTCGCCCCTCTCCTCGTCCTCCTCCCCGTCCTCGTCCTCCTCCCGAGAAACGATCGAGAGGAGGAGGAGAGCGGGCGTGGCAACTATGTGAGGGCAGAGCCCCAAAGAGGTGCACGAGGGCACGGCACGAGTTGGAGCGCGCTCCCAGGCCCGCAAGTGCAAATGCCTTGTGTATGCACCGCCCGAATATTAGGCAAAAGCGCGCGCGCCTCATCCCCATCTGATTGAAGCTGTGATGAGCTTGCGCAGCCATCATTCAAAGCTCAATGCAATGCGTTTGCTGTATCGATCGCTCCGCGCGCTCTGGTGCGGTTTGGGCTACTAGCATCGATCGCATGCCCGCGTTAGCAGCCTGTATTGCCTGAGATCGCCCTTTGGCCGCTTCCCAGAGTCGACAAAGGAACGAGCTGCTTTCTCATTGGTGGGGGGGGCGCGGGGGCTGCAAGAGCTTGCCCCTGAGCAATCGACAGATCGGCGTCACTGGGGGGCCACCTCCGAGCGACACAGCTGGGCCTAGGGCCAGTTCCACAATACATGCCCTCCCCCCTCCCCCCCCGTTATATTCCACTCCTTCCCTGCGTTACCTGAATCTCGACTTGAACGGCTTGCGGGATCTGGCCCTCGGCGGTGTTGCCAAATCTAGCCGCAGCTCTTCCTATCAGAGGTGGATTTTCCAGCGCGCGCATGGCATTGGCCTCAACTTGACATCATGTTGCACCAGTGGGCAGGGTTCTGGTGCTGCGCAGCCCCGTGGAAATCTGGCGAACCTTAAGAAAGCCTCCTTTTGGGGACCACAGGCGGTGAGAGGATGCCGAACGGGCCCGATCGGGGAGGACTGCTGCTCCTTTCGCAGAAAGCTGGGCGGTAATCTTATCCCATGATCTCCGCATCAGCAAGGCCACTCTGGCTCAAGCTGGAGACCCTACGGCCTGGGGATGACTCTCGCCGAGTCGCGATGAGGTCACTCGCCGCAGAACCCCCCCCGATGACGCGGCCATTTGCCTGGCCCCGTTCGCGGGCCGCCCGCCTATGGCATGTGTGGCCCCTCGACGCTCGCGGGCACGTGGCCCGAGCGCGCGCCGCCGCTGGCGCCGCGGGCAGCTGGCTGCAGGGCGTGCGGAGCGGATGCAAGCGAGTGCACATCTCCTTCAGCTCCTCCGCCCCCATCAGGTACCTCGTGAAGCACTTCTGCTTCATCGTCTCGCTGTTCTACCCATGGTTGATATTGATTGCGTGGCCCCTGTGGCCCCGAGCACTGCGCCGCTGACAATGGTTGAAGCTGGATGCGCAGCTTCTGTGAGTTTGGGTGCGTGCTGTCTATCGCCGCGGTCCTGTGGCACGATGTCGGAGGTCTACATCCCACATCGGGACATGCTGAAGTCCCCCTTGCACGGCTGGTTGCCCATCGCCTACGTAGACGAGATTCTCTGAGTTTTTCGCGCCCATCTGGATTTGTTCTGGCTTACGGCTTTTGGCGTGGCGCTCATGCACGCTTACGAAGATTCCGGGGCCGCGGACGTCATGACCACTCTGCCTTGCCTGGAGACGCTGCCCGCTGGGAACCGGACCGTGAGCACAATCGAGTGGGATGACGACCAGACCGATCTGATCTTAGGTCCTGAGGGCATCTGGGATAGCCTGCGCACACCCTCCGTCCTGCGACCGCGGGACGAAGCCCACACTGAAAACATGGAGCGGCTTAGCATGTACATGATCTCAGCGTTCAACCAACAGTTCGCCGAGGGGCTACGGGAGTCGATGCAAATTTTCCCACCATTACCCTGAGTATAGATACTGAGTTTTTTTGATACCGAGGCACCTTCTTCGATTGTGTAGGCACTAGTTTCAGCAACGGTTCTCGTACGCCTGACCTGGGGGTGCGGGGCGTCTCAGGTGCCAGCGCTCTCAGAGCAGCCCTGGGCAGCCTTTCACTCGTGCGGCTCACCTAGCGGGGGCAATGTCCGCTGCTCGAGCGTGCGATGATTTGGCAGTCTTGAGGCTCTGCCTTTGGTGACCTGCGCCTGGCCAGGAGTCGCCAGAACGAGGGGGTGACTTGCTTTCGAGTTTCGGAGCCCCGTTCTCAGCTCTCATAGGGGGGACTGCATACTACCCATTGTGGGGTCACGCTCTGCGGCGTGACAGCGAGGCACTAGTGACCTGTCAGCTCTCGAGTGTAGTATACGTACTTTTGACGAGCAGGTGAATATTTCACGAAGTGGTCCTCTATGCTGCCCAATAAAATTAGCCTGACGAAGGACCCAACCATGTGCAATTGCGCGTACCGCATTGTGGGTACCGGTTTCGATGGAGCTCCTATGGGGCCACGAAACTTGTGAGGGGTGCGCCGAAATTGGTGGCGCGGAAGCATGTGGACACCGCCACTGGGGCGTTCGGTGTAGCTCCCTATGGGGCCACGAAACGCTGCCCTGGGCGAGGGAGACGCATGCGAACTGCACCATTGGGATCTTCGCTGGAGCTCCTTATGGGGCCACGAAGCGCTGTCATGGGTGGGGGGAGACGCATGCGAACTGCGCCTCTGGCGCCTTCGGTGGAGCTCCCTATGGGTCCACGAAACGCTGTCCTGGGTGGGAGAGACGCATGCGAACACTCCGATTGAGGCCTTCGGTGGAGCTCCCCATGGGGCCACGAAGCGCTGTCCTGGGCGGGGGAGACGCATGCGAACACCCCCCCTGGGGCCTTCGGTGGAGCTCCCTATGGGGCCACGAAACGCTGCCTTGGGTGGGGGAACCGCATGCGCCCACCCCCCTGGGGCCTTCGGTGGAGCTCCCTATGGGGCCACGAAGCGCTGCCCTGGGTGGGGAAACTGCATGCGCCCACCCCCACTGGGGCCTTCGGTGGAATTCCATATGGGGCCACGAAACGCTGCCCTAGGTGGGGGAACCGCATGCGCCTACCCCCCCTGGGGCCTTCGGTGGAGCTCCCTGTGGGGCCAAGAAACGCTGCCTTGGGCGGGGGAACCGCATGCGCCCACCCCCACTGGGACCTTCGGTGGAGCTCCCTATGGGGCCACGAAACGCTGCCCTGGGCGTGGGAACCGCATGCGCCCCCCCTCACTGGGACCTTCGGTGGAGCTCCCTATGGGGCCACGAAGCGCTGCCGTGGGTGGGGGAACCGCATGCGCCCCCCCTCACTGGGACCTTCGGTGGAGCTCCTTATGGGGCCACGAAGCGCTGCCCTGGGTGTGGGAACCGCATGCGCCCCCCCTCACTGGGACCTTCGGTAGAGCTCCCTATGGGGCTACGAAGCGTGTGAGAGGTGTGCCGAGAGCAGAGGCAAGGAGGGGGAGGAGGGAGGAGGGGGAGAAGGGAAGGAAGGAAGGAAGGAAGGAAGGAAGGAAGGAAGGAACGCGGGGCACCGTCTCATCAAAACGAGGACCCAACACCACAGGATGGTTGGGAACAAATCTCTGCATCAGCGTCTCTCACCGAACAAGAACGTCACTGTCTGCAGTAAGGGTTCCCTCTGTTTACGTACGATCTATCCCGCACGCCCTTGAACGTGCCAAACTCTGCTCCAAACATGGGCCCTCGGGACAAAACTGACCGAACGTGTCGATTCACATCCTAAGCACATCCCAGAAGTTTCAGCACAATCGACGACTGAAAGAAAGGCCTCCCAAGCACCTTCAACAAACTTGAAGATCGCATGGACATCTGCATACACAATCAAACCTGGCGGTAGAACTGACACTCGGAGCCATGGCCACACGCGCAACAAGGGACTCACCAACATCGTACCCATCCATCTTTCCATTTCTATATTACTTCCTCCCTCCCGCTCTCCACCCACCTCTCCCATCCTTGTTCCTGAACTGTGGCTCGCCATGTCCATCAACGGCGCGGTCTGGGCTGCCGCCACCTGCCAGGGTAGCTTCTCGACTGGCCCACTGAGCTGGATGCAACTGGCGCCGATGGGGCTGCCGACGGGATCGTCCCCTCGCTAACGAAGCGAACCCGCCCGAACCTCGACTCTGGTCTTCTACCACCTTTTCAGTCTCACCTCTCGACCGCCTCCCCCTTCCCTCCCCATTCGCTGGGCCCTCCCTTGTTCACGGCCACCCAGCCTGGCCGCCCAGCTCAACCCCACCCCCCTTCCCTGCTGCTCCTAGTCCTCCTGCCCCTCCCCCTGGCGCTCTCCTCTCCCTGCCCTCCCCGCCAACCTCCCCGCCCCCCCCCCCCGGCAACCTCCCCGCCCCCTCCCCCGGCGCCAGCGGAGCCGGGTCCAGCCGCAAGCGCAGCACTGCCTCCGGCACGTCCCCGGATGTACTCCTCGGCGCGCGGGCCGAGGGCACGCAAGGGGGGGGGGGGGGGGGGCGCGACGCGCGCAGGCGAGGCGGAGGGGCGAGGAGCAGGCGGGGGGGCCCTGGCCCCGCAGGCAGGAGGGATCCCAGCCACGAAGCCAACATCGCAAGCTGTGAACGACGGCGCATCGTGACAACATGCCGACACATCCACTGCACGAGGAGGGCAGGACAGAAAATCGCACATCGATAGTCATGAGTCTGCAACAGGTTGGGCAGAAGGGATGGAACGCTTCGGGGACACACGACAGGAGGTAGTCTTCGGCGGAGGAACAGGGTTCGAAATGTTCGGTCCCGGATTGCGCTTCCTGGTAGCCCAACGACATGCTTTTCTTGTTTCCACATCCTCCGCCTGGCCGCCCCGTGGCGCCCTGCCACTCCCGCGCCCGCCCCGCCTTGCCCTGCCAGTCTGCCATCTGGCACTGCCTCAGCGCGGGCCGCACCGCGCTGGCCCTCTGCCCGCCGCCGGGCGCCTCAGCTGCTGCCTCCCGCCCCCCCCCCCCCCGCCCGGGCGCCCTGGTCCGCCTGCCGCCCGCTGCTCCCGCCCACCCCCCCTTGCTGGGTTTCGCCCGCACTGCCGCTTATGGCCCCGCCCCTGGGCGCGCCCGCGGCGCCGTCCCGCAACGCTGCCAGGGGCTGCCCCGCAGCCTGGCCGCCCCGCGCGCTCCCTGCGGCGCCGCCGCGTAAGAATGCCCCTCTCCTCCTCCCTCCCTCCGCGGCCGCCCGCCCTCTTCTTCCTTCCCCCCCCGTCTTGCATGCGGGACAACCCGCAGCTCCGCAGTCCGGTTCTGCTCACGCGCGAGCGGATCGCCTCTGCCGCGCCGCGACGGGACAAACATCCAGGGTTTCTCCCTGTCGCCGCCCGTGGTCGCCGGGCGCGCTGGCTGTGCGTTCTGGGATCTCGCCCGAGCGCCGCTCGCGTGCGCACCGCGCGCCGATGGCACGCTCTGGCTCTTCGCCCCCTCGCGGCCCGCGGTTGTGCGCCGGCTGGGCTCCTCCTCCTCCTCCTCCTCCTCCTCCTCCTCCTCCTCCTCCTCATGCTCTTTCCTCCTCCTCCTCCTCTTCCTCCTCCTCCTCCTCCTCCTCCTCCCGCCCCCCGCCTCCTGCCTCTTCCTCCTCCAATCGACGCCCGTGGGCGCTGCGCGGGCGCCCCGTGCCCGTTGCGAAGCGCTGCTCCCCGGCGTCGCCCGCGGGCGCCTCGCGGGCGCTCCGTGCGCCGACGGAGCGTGCTCTGGTCTTCGCCCTGTCGCCGTCCGAGGGCGCCTCGCGGGTGTCCCGCGCGCCGGCTGGCGCGTCTTGATGATGCACGTCGGTTGTACCACATGTTCAAGCCATCCTTTGATTGCACCACGCAGATTGCACACCGTTGCTGGCACCACGTCGACTGTACCGCAGACCATGCACCACACAGGTTGCAGCACATGGCTCGCACCACATCGCACCCAGACTGCATGAACTTGCTGCTCGGGCTCCAAATTGGCACGCGTGTACTGAAACTCCGTGTTCCTTCCTAACCTCCCGTGTGTCCTCCATCCTGCCTCACTCCACCACGTCCATCACTGTCACTCCCCCTCCAATACTCGAGCTCATAACTCGCTCCAGACCTCCATAGTGGGGCGAACTGACACACATCTCGCCCCAGAGATCTGTGTCCACCTCGCTCAAAACTCGAGCTTCGGACCTCCCAATTTGGGGTGAACTGACACACGCACACACACACACACACATCGCGAAGCAGATCTGGCCGTGGCGGCGAGAAGCCCCCCGACGACCTGAGAGCGTCGAACACGTTCACGATCTCAATCCTCGAACCTCCTTCTGCCCCTCCTCACCCGCCGCGTCCTCCGTCCTCCGTCCTCCGCCTCCTCCGTCCTCCTTCCTCCGTCCTCCGCCTCCTCCGTCCTCCGCCCCCCGTCCTCCGTCCTCCGCCCTCCGTCCTTCTTCCTCCATCCTCCGTCCTCCGTCGTCTGGTCTCCGTCCGCCTCCTCCCGTCCTCCTGGCCGAAGGTCTGACTGATGCCGCATGCCCATGGGACCGGCGGTAAGGGGCGGGCGTCCTCGAGCGACTGCGCTCTGGCCTGCCGCGGGCCGGCGGGAGGAAGCCAACGGGAGCGGGGGCTCAGTCCCACGAGGAGGCGGAGGCGGAGGAGGAGGAGAAGCCGGAGGAGGGAGGAGGAGGGAGGAGCAGGGAGGAGGAGGGGAGATGTAAGAGTGGTGATATCCTGGATGTCTGGGTGCGCCGGGGGAGGGCAGAAGACCAACGAGGGACTCGGACGAAACGGGCCATCTAAGCGGGCCGTCACACGCAGGCGGACGGGGAGGCTTACCCGAAGCCATCCTGGCCCTCCCGAGCAGTATCCCGCGTGCTGGGCACGTTCTCACTGCGCCTCTGGAAGAGGAAAAGCGACACAGTAAAGAGGCACAGCGTGAACACCAACGTTTGGAGGTCCCTGCGGGGTTCTTTCTCATTCTCCCTCTCCTTCTGCTCCCTGGTTCCCTTAGCTATGCAAGCACCTGCAAGCTTACGAATCCCCCCGATCATGCCCTCAGCGCCGTGCCCAGGGCTGGCGTATGGCTTCTGTGCGTGTCGGGTTTCCTGTGTCGGCGAATGACGCACTCCCAAACCAATGACTTCAGGAAAGGGTTCTCGCTTGTCTCCTGGGCTCCACGGGTTGCGCGATGGGCACCCGTCACTGCCACGTCGCCGCGCGGTGCGCTGGCTGGGTTCCCAAGTTGTCCCGCGGCGGGCGGACGACGCTGTATCGCCGTCGCCCCGCACAAGAACTCACTGTTTGGTTTCTACGCTGGGAGGCATGTGCATATCATACAAGTGTATGCGAGGTTGTTCTCCTCGACGAGAAGGGCCGGCGAGGAGACAAGCGAGGAGAACGAAGCGAAGGCGGGGGACTTCAGGCGGATGCCGGGGGGGGGGGGGAGGCGGACCGCGACCCTGTGGCCAGGCGGGCCGCGGCGGCGACGAGCGCCTGCTCCACGCCTGCGAGGGGGAGGAGGAGGAGGAGGAGGAGGGGAGGAGGAGGAGGAGGAGGAGGAGGAGGAGGAGGAGGAGGAGGAGGAGGAGGAGCAGGAAGAGGAGCAGGAGGAGGAGGAGGAGGAGGAGGAGGAAGAGGACCAGGAGGAGGAGAAGCGGACCCTCTCATGCCGTCACGAGTCGAGCCAGAGTCGAGGAGTAGGAGTCACTGGGAGCACGTTGGCCAGTGCCACATATCAGAGAACGGCAAACAACGAAAGAGCAACGGCCCCAGCAGCTGCGAGCGGCTGGACAACAGGCGGCCCCCGCAGCACCGCCAGCGAAGGCCGCAATGCCTGCAGCCGTGCGCGCTGGATCGAGCAGCCTGCTCGAGCTTGGTGCCCCGACGAGAGGGCTCTGGCACCAAGCTCTCCCAAGCGGGCCCCATGCTGCCAGTGGCAGCAACGTCCGCCACGGCGCGCCTCTGGAGAAATGGCAGCGGTGGCGTCTCGGACTCTCTGTCGCGGGGGCCTTGCGTGCGCAGGTGACCCCGCTCGGCTGGGAGGCGCGAGTGGCAGCCTCGTTGGGAGCAGCACTGCCGCGCGCAGCAGGAACGCTGCCAGGGAGCGAGTGAGGGACGGATCTTCCACATCCACGTGCGATGCGGTCCACTCCGCAGTAGCAGGTGCCGCTCCTCGCTGATGAAGGGCGGTGCGACTCGCGCACGACGTCGTGCGGCCCCCCTCTCAACCAAATCAAGAGAGGCCTCTGGTCCATGGCGAGATGCACGGGGCCTGTGGTGACTTCTAAACAGAACGCACAAGCATGGAGCTACGCTGGGGGGACCGTCTGTGCACGGCCTTGCAAAATCGCAGACCCGCTCAGTGTGAAGATCCTACTGAGGCGAGCTATTCTCGGAACAGGCCAGGGTATTGTTGCGGAGCGACAGCGACGGCTACGAGAATCGCAAGCAAACCTGCCTCCAGAACCGAGCCAAATCACAGATCAGATGCTCATCCGGAGGTGCTCTGGAGGGGAATGCCGCCCTCTTGAACAACCCTGTCGCCGGCGGCAAGTTCGACGAACAAGGCATGGGTGTGACCCGAAAGGGGGAATGCCACGAAGCCAAAGCCCAGGGCTGGTGTCAGCACCGGCGGGGCGGGAAGGGCAGAGGAGGGGGTGGCGGGAAGCACGGGGGTACGCGTCGGGGAAAGGGGGAGGAGGGAGGGGTAGCGATGGGGGTGAGCAAAGGATGGCGTAAGAGCTGTGAAAGAAAGTGATAGGGGGGGGGAGGGGAGGGAGAGGAGAACGAGGAGAGGAGGGTCGGGGAGGGTCGGAGGATGGGGGTCAAGAGGCACGAGGTGCTGCAGTCCACTTGCTCGGGCGAGGTCGGGCGATTCGGCGGCGGCAGCGAGGCCTGCTGCTGGCGGCCAAAGTTCAGCGCGTCGTCGATCTTGCCCCGCAGCTGCAGGACCTCCGCCTGGTGCCTCCGCAGGGGGCGCCCTCGCATCTCTCCGTCCCCTCGTCGGCCTCCTTTGCCCCCCCCCTGCCTCGTGCCTCCGAGCTGGACGCTCGAGACTCCGAGATGCAGGCAGACGGCATCCACTTCAACGCTGAAGCATTCAATCCAGAGGGGTCATCCCTCCCTGCTCTATCCCTCTTCCCTTCTACCTCACCCCTCCCTCCCGTTCCATCCCTCCCTCTCGCCCTTCCCCTCCTGCCTCCTAGTTACCACCCGGCGAGGGTGCCGCACCCCTTATCAGGACCCCGGGAAACTGGAAGCGGTGCTCTTTCAATGGCTATCTTTCAATGGCCCCGCTCTTGACTCGTCTCGGCTCGTCCTGTCGCGGCATGGCCACCCTGGAGCGAGGACACGTTGTCTTCGGAAGACTATTGAATGGCGCGGACGCCACCCTGGAGTGGCACCCCATGCCTGGCATGAGGTTGCCCGTAGCTTGGCGGCGGCGCTGGTCCAACACTGGTACCACTACGCGGCTGGCTTTGGGAGAGGCAAGCAGCTCGTGGAGTGGAAGGCTGCATTGGCTGCCCAAGACGAGGCGACAATCTGGTCCAAGACTCTGCATGTGGAGCGCGACCGCGACCTCCCGCCGCGCGTCCAACCTCGCTCGCGGTCTGCCAAAGTGGGCGGATGACCTCCCAACCCAGGCTGAAGCGAGACTCGCAATGGGGCAACACGCGGACAAACACACGTGGCCCCGGGTGCACACGTGGCAAGTGATGGCGGCCGCCATTACCAAAAGGCGCCCAGAGATTCAAACGCGCGACGGCCTCCCGTGCCCCCACGACAGTGGCCACCCACACTGCTGGCACGGTGGTGGGACTCGCCGCAGGCACCGAGATGATTACGTTCGCCCAGCAACATGTTTGATTGCCCGCGGAACGGCGTGAACCTCATGAACACATGATCTACTGGCCCTCAGCTGCAAAAACCTTAGCCCGAACATGAGTGAAGGGTTTGGCCAGCGTTGCTGGCAAAGCACGCCGAGCTGTGGCCGCATCAGTCTGTGTTCAGGCTCCAGTGGAGAACGCACCCGAGCAGCTGTCTGCCCCGCAAGGGGCCATCGACCCTCCCTTTCGATTGCTGGCGCTCCTTGTAGTCTGGTGAATCCGGCATGCATGCTGGCCGGTAAGGTAGCCCACCACTAGTCTCGCACTCGGCCACGGCAGAGGTCAGCGAGCAGTTCGGGCATGCTGCTTGCTGGACATCGAGAGCGGCAACGTCAGCATCGACAAGTTCGTCGACAGCGTGGTCAACTGGGCCGTCGTGCGGCATGGCCACACGCCCGAGGCCAAGGCGCCCGCCGCAACATGCACCTCCAGCTTGCCGCTCCCAACCGTTGCGTGTGCGACCAAAGCGTGCGAAGCCAACGAGGCGAATACGAATTGAAAGCAGAAGACCAGCCCTCCACGAACGGGTGACACGGCGAGAAGGATGACGAAATGGAGAGGGATCCCACCGAGAAGAGGGATGCGGTGGCGCGCTCCTCGCTGCAGCGTCTCGACGGGGACCTTGCCCACCGGCGACGACGAGGCATACCCGCACCCTCGAGGGTGACCAGGGTCGAGGCTGCGCGGGCGCCGCTCCCCCCCCAAAAATTCGAGTGCGCCGAAGAAGGGGGCCAGGCATGGCGCGTCATGGCCCGAGCAGTGTGCGCGGACGACAAGTGGGCCAGCGGATGCCTCGAACCAAACAGAGGGGGTCCCTGGAATCTGGGACACCCCGTGGCCCCGGCCATGGTCCCCCCCCCCCTCTCGGAAGGCCCCGACAGTTGGGGCGAACGCGCTGCTTCCCGTGGCCGGGGCCGCAGCTGCTCGGGCCCTGCCCGGCCCCACGGGCCGCTCACGCCGCGCGCGCGCGCGCCGCTGGACCGCTGCTGGGGCGGGCCGGTCAGCACCACCGAGGCCCACACCGGCCCTGGACAGAGCAGACTGCCGCAACTAGGGAGCCCACAAAGGACGTACGCGCCCAGCTATGTACATGAACACGGCCCCTCGATTCGCGAGACCGGCCGCGTTATACGAACAATTGTGCAATGCGTGCTCTCGAAACCAGTGTGGATTCATGTGCACGTACGTCCTTCTTCCGCTCCTGAGCAACCCAGGAAGCGCCGGCGCTGCCCACCCGGCGGCGGCACGCCAAGGTGGCCAGGGCGGGGCACGCGGCGGCCGGCGGCGGAGCCGCGCAGGCGGCCGCCGAGCGAGGGCGCCTGCCTGGAAGCCAAATAGGGCTGCCTCGCGAGGCGGAGCGCAGGAGAGGCCGCGGCCACCCTCGCGCAGGGCGGCGCCGCGCGGCGTCGGCGCTGGGCCCTCCGCGCACGCGGCGGCCCTCGCAGGACGCGGGACGCAGCGGCGCCCGACCTCTGCAGGCCGAGCTCGCTGGCGCGGCGCCAAGGGAGGAGGAGGAGGAGGCGTGCCGCCGCCCTGGCGCAGGGACCGCGGCGCGGCCCACGCCGCGGCTCAGAGGGAGCGCTGACTGCTGGTGGCCGGACGCGCGGCCTGGTGCGGCGATCGCAGGGCACGGGGTCGCGTGAAATGCGGCCCCGCGGGCGGAGGAGGAGGAGGAGGAGGAGGAGGAGGAGGAGGAGGAGGAGGAGGAGGAGGAGGAGGAGGAATGACGGGATGATGAATGCCCCCGCCTCGCCGTGGCATGCCGCGGTCCACGGAGGGAGGACGCGGCCCTGCTGCCACATCGGAAGGGGCCCCGCGGGCGGCTTGGCGCGGAAGGCGCCCCGCGCCATCACCCAGCGGGCGGTGGCGGAGCCAAGGGGTGTGTGACCGAGGCGGCCGAGGCGGCCGAGGCGGTGCCTCGAGAAAACACAGTTGCGGACACCTGCGAAGAGACCACGTACCGACCTGCGCCGCCATCGTCGCTTTTTCTTTTGCACTGATGACCACTCCTTCCTTCCTTAGATTCCTTGATCGGCATCCGCAAGTCTGCATCTTCCTCCGTGTGAGACAGAACAGGGGAGAAAGAGAGAGAGAGAGAGAGCGAGACAAAAGAGAAGTAGAGAGAGTCAGAGAGAGAAAGAGAGAGAGACAGAGCAGCAGCAGCAGCAGCAGCAGCAGCAGCAGCAGCAGCAGCAGCGACGGCGTCAGCGACGGCGTCAGCGACAGCGACAGCGACAGCGACAACAGCAGCAGCAGCAGCACCGGCAACAGCATCGGCCAACTGAGCAGCAGCACAACGACTGCATCCACGAGCACCAGCAACAACAGAAGTGCCACGAGTGTCCGACGCTGTCCGCGCACTGTCCGACGAGCCTCTCTTCCAGGTGGCGGATGCGCGTTTCTAGGGCCTCCATCTGCGGGGCCGCCACCTGCCCACCAGACCCGTCAAAGGGGAGGGGAAAGGTGAGAGAGGGGGAGTACAGAATTCGGCCTGACCGAAGGAACGAGTAAATAAGGAACGAAGCCCGCTTTTTCCAAGTAGGTCTAGGAACTCCGAAGGAACCCCAGGGGGGCTCGCCATCAAAACGGCAGCGGAGCGCATGCAAGGCAAAGGAACGGCCGAACACCTTTTGAAAAGTAAGTGCTCCTTCTTCAAGCCGGACCCTCTAGGGAAGAGGAGGCGGAGGGAGGGGGGAGCGAAGAGGGAAGAGAAGGCGGCTGCGGGCTGGGACGGGGGGAGGGTGAAGGAGAGGGGGCACAGGCAGTGGGACGCGGTGGAGGAAGTGGACGGGCGCAGTCAACCCGTACAGTAAGGATGCGCGAAAAGGATGCAGGGCCCAGGAAGCCCAACGAAAGTGGCCAAGGATGCACCGAGGAGGCAAGGATGCAAGGGTACCCTTGGGAAGATTGCCCGTCCTTGCTATGCGGGTTGACTGTAGGTTGAGAAAGCATCACGAGGTGCAACACGTGGAGTCCTAGCACCGATCTGTGCAGAATGAAAGGGAAACAGAAGTAGCACGGGACGCCAGCGCATCACATGCATAGCAGACTAGGCGAGGTGCGACACCGCTCGAAAACACCAGCAAACGCCATCAAACCCGCACTCTTCCCGCCCCTCCGCGCGGTCGAGAGCAACGCACCAGGGCTGGCAACGCCCGAGGGACTGCAACCCCAGACGACCGACATGGTACTTTGTCACGCGGAATCCCCCCCCCGAAATCCCGCAGCACCCTTTTCCCAGGACCAGCCTCCCCCAGGATCAGAAGGGCCCCCCAAAGGCCGCAGACTTGCCAAACACCTTCCCCACTTGTCCGTGACGCCAGGGCGGCTGTGCGCAGGGGCGAGGGAGGCACCGGGAGGAGCGAGGAGGGACGGGGAGGAGCGAGGCGGAGGATGACGATGGGGATGATGAGGATGAGGAGGAGGAGGAAGAGGAAGAGGAGGAGGAGGAGGAGGAGGAGGAGGAGGAGGAGGAGGAGGAGCAGGAGGAGAAGGAGGAGGAGGGGGAGCCCCCCCCCCCCGGCGCTCCGCGTGGTCCAGCGCTGCCGCCGTCGCCGAGCACCCCGAGCCGCCCCGCTCGGCGGGGACGCCGCGGGCGTCCAGGGCGGCCTGGCGCCCGGCGGGGGGGCCGCGGCAGAGCTGGCCGGGGCGAGAGGAGGACGAGGCGGGGAGGGGGGGAGGGCGAGGACGACGACGAACACGAGGTGGAGGGGGGCGAGGGGGCGGCATGGTGGCAGCGTGTGGCGTGGGGGGAGGGCGAGGTGGAGGAGGACGAGGCAGACTGCGAGAAATCTCACATTGCGCTGTGCGTGATGATTCCGCACGCTCGAAGCCGCACCTCCTGGGCCGCGCTGCCCTGGAGGGGCGCAAAATGCACGCCCTCTGAGCGCCCCAACCAAGTGCGGCAACTTGTGCACGATCTACCGTAACGATGGCAAGGCGCGCAAAACTCGTATAACGAATTCTCGCGACCAACGTCGAAACCCTGAACTTCTGTCGCGGAATCTTGGAATACTGGTGGGGGAAAACGAGACACCAGATGCGCGTGATCGTGTGCGCGCGGGTGAAGACCGACGCTGGCGGCGTTCGGAGCGGCAGATGCCACGGTGCTCGAACACGAGGGCTCGAGCACGAGAGCTCGAGCACGAAAGCTCGAACACGAGGGTCGGTCGGGCGAAAGGGGGGGATAGCAAAGGGCGGGCTTGAGAATCAGCTCACGTGGCTGATTTTCCCGGCGGCTCCAAGCGCCGGAGGCGGCTATGTATCGAGGACTGGGCCCCTCGGTGAGGCCGAAACCAGCTGCCTGCGGCAAATTTCGTGACCCCCCCTTTTCCCAATCCCCCCCTCTCGTCCGGCCCGAGAGGGGTCGAACCGGAGGGCTCGAACACGAGGGGTCGGAAGCGAGGGCTCCAACACGAAGGCTCCAACGAGAAAAGGTCGGCAACCCACGCGGGGGTGCGCGCCCGAGCGGTGGGCTCGGCACCGCCCACGCGGCGGAGGAGGAGGAGGAGGAGGAGGAGGAGGAGGAGGAGGAGGAGGAGGAGGAGGAGGAGGAGGAGGAGGGAGGAGGAGGAGGAGGAGGAGGAGGAGAGGAGGAGGAGGAGGAGGAGGAGGAGGAGGAGGAGGAGGAGGAGGAGGGAGGAGGAGAGGAGGAGGGGGGGAGAAGGAGGAGGAGGAGGAGGAGGAGGAGGAGGAGGAGGCGGAGGAGGAGGAGGAGGAGGAGGAGGAGGAGGAGGAGGGGAGGAGGAGGAGGAGGAGGAGGAGGAGGAGGAGGAGGAGGAGGAGGAGGGGGAGGAGGGGGAGGAGGAGGCTCCAACACACGGGGGTCTCGCTCTCCCAGCCACCTTCGGCCCCCGCTGGGCCCGGCCGCGGTCGGCGCGCTCCCCCGGCCCGCGGGCACCAGGATCCCGCAGCCGGCGGAAGCTGGCCGACATCTCCGCCGCAGGGTGCAGTCGGGCGTGCCCCCCTACAGAGGGATTTTCGACGAAGAATAAAAACAGATTCAAAGAATATTCCAACATGGTCAAACAAATAAGAAACAAATAATATGGGGACTATGTTTTGAATATGCATGGACCATTATGGAACATTTCCCAACCATCCTGTGGTGTTGGGTCCTCGTTTTGAGAGGACGGTCCTCGCGTTCCTCCTTCTCCTCCTCTTCCCCCTCCTCCCTACCGTCCGCATGCGTCCCGCACACCCAGTACAGCGCTTCGTGGCCCCATAGGGAGCTCCACCGAAGGTCCCAGTGCTACCGTCCGCATGCGTCCCGCACACCCAGTACACCGTTTCGTGGCCCTCCTCCCCCTCCTCCCTGCGTTTCACCCACCCAGTACAGCGTTGCGTGGCCCCATAGCGAGCCCCACCGAAGGTCCTAGTGCTACCGTCCGCATGCGTCCCGCACACCCAGTACAGCGTTTCGTGGCCCCATAGGGAGCCCCACCGAAGGTCCCAGTGCTACCGTCCGCATGCGTCCCGCACACCCAGTACAGCATTTCGTGGCCCCATAGGGAGCTCTACCGAGGGTCCCAGTGCTACCGTCCGCATGCGTCCCGCACACCCAGTACACCGTTTCGTGGCCCTCCTCCCCCTCCTCCCTGCGTTTCGCCCCACCCAGTACAACGTTTCGTGGCCCCATAGGGAGCCCCACCGAAGGTCCCAGCGCTACCGTCCGCATGCGTCCCGCACACCCAGTACAGCGTTGCATGGCCCCATAGGGAGCTCCACCGAAAGTCCCAGAGCTACCGTCCGCATGCGTCCCGCACACCCAGTACAGAGTTGCGTGGCCCTCCTCCCCTTCCTCCCTGCGTTTCACCCACCCAGTACAGCGTTTCGTGGCCCCGTAGGGAGCTCCACCGAAGGTCCTAGTGCTACCGTCCGCATGCGTCCCGCACACCCAGTACAGCGCTTCGTGGCCCCATAGGGAGCCCCGCCGAAGGTCCTAGTGCTTCCGTCCGCATGCGTCCCGCACACCCAGTACAGCGTTTCGTGACCCTCCTCCCCCTCCTCCTTGTTTCACCCACCCAGTATAGCGTTTCGTGGCCCCGTAGGGAGCTCCACCGAAGGTCCTAGTGCTACCGTCCGCATGCGTCCCGCACACCAAGTACAGCGCTTCGTGGCCCCATAGGGAGCCCCACCGAAGGTCTCAGCGCTACCGTCCGCATGCGTCCCGCACACCCAGTACAGCGTTTCGTGACCCTCCTCCCCCTCCTCCTTGTGTTTCACCCACCCAGTATAGCGCTTCGTGGCCCCCCACCGAAGGCCCCAGTGCCCCCGTCCGCATGCGCCCCGGAAGCCCAATTTGGCATTTTCACCTACCCAGTGCAGCATTTCGTGGCCCCATAGGGGGCTCCACCCAAGGCCTCAGTGCGACCGTCCGTATGCGTCCGGGAAATGTAATTTGGCATTTTCACCCGCGCAGTGCAGCGCTTCGAGGCCCCATAGGTGGCTCCACCGAAGCCCCCAATGGGACGGTCCGCATGCGTCCCGGTAACCAAATTTGGTATTTTCGCTCACTCAGTAGAGCGCTTCGTGGCCCCATAGGGAGCTCCACCCAAGCCCTCAGTGGGACCGTCCGCATGCGTCCCGGAAACCCAATTCGGCACACCACCCACACAGTACAGCGTTCCCCCCCGCCCAGTGCAGCGCTTCGTGGCCCCATAGGGAGCTTCACCGAAACAGATATTCACAATTACGGTACCCACAACTGCATATGGTTAGGACCTTCGCCAGGATAACTTTTAATTATCTTTTATTTTTCGCCGAAGCTCCCCCTGTAGCATAGGGAATCGAACTCTACACGCCGACGCTTCTTCGGGCCCTGCATTGGAACTTGCACTGGAGAGCGGATCCTGGTGTATATGGGACCCCCCTGTTGTATACATTTTTCGTTGCTTCCCCGGGGCATCGAGGAGAAAAGTATACGCCACACCACCCCAACGTCGTCCGCGACCCTCAAGAAATCCTGGGATTGGAAAACAGCCCGCCACTGGTAATGTATATGTTCCTATTTCCGACGCCGTGGCCCTCCACGGGCGACACGACAACCTGGACGGTTTCCCCCGGGGCTGTAGGCGACCCGAGGAGGGGAGAGCGAGGAGGGCGAGGAGGGGGTGGAGGAGGCGGAGGAGGAGGAGGAGGAGGAGGAGGTGGACGGGGAGGAAGACGAGGAGGAGGAGGCGGAGGAGGAGGAGGAGGAGGAGGAGGAGGAGGAGGAGGGGTCGCCTAAGCCCTTCGGAGAAACCCTCCACGACAGCCCCCGCTGCCCGCCCACGCGGCCCACCCCAGGGCCAGGACCGAGACAGCGTCGGACCAGGGCCGGCCGAGGACCTCTGAGATCTGGCGGCTCTCGAGGCGTCGGGCGCCGCGGCCGCTCCGGAGCGCTCCGGGGCGACTTGCCCTCCTCCTCCTCCCTCCTCCTCCTCCTCCTCCTCCTCGTCCTTCTCTCCTCCTCCTCCTCCTCCTCCTCCTCCTCCTCCTCCTCCTCCTCCTCCTCCTCCTCCTCCCCCTCCTCCTCCTCCTCTTCCTCCTCCTCCTGGCCCAAAAGGGGGTCCAGCCGAAAGGGGGTGGTGCAACAGATTTGGGGCGATTGTATTGCAAATGTCTTGCGCCGGGGGCTCGTATGGCATTGCGTTGCAGGAAATGCATTGCGCGCGGAAGTGCAGCAATGCATTCGCGCCCCGAACTGTACTGCACGCCCCAACTGTGTTGCAACCCCGCGCATCTAGATAGCACCAAATCTGTTGCACCACCCCCCTGTCGCTGGACCCCCTCTTGGGTCAACCCGGTGGTCCTGGCCCCGCCCGAAGCCTGCAGCAGCTCTCGAGGATCCTCTGACCCGGGTCAATCCAGACCCGGGTCAGCAGGAAACCACAAACTGCAATGCAAAAAAACAAAAAAACTGCAACGCAGAACTTCGCAAACCCGGGCCAGCCAACACGCGCGGCCGCCTCGCGGCCACGAGCGGCTCGCTGACCCGGGTCAGCCAGAGGGGGTCTTCCCAGGATCCTGCAGGATCCGGCGTCCTGGCTGACCGCTGACCCCCGTTTGCACTGACCCCCGCCTCCAGGCTCCCGAAGCTCGCAGCATGCCGCGCTCCGGGCCCCCCTCGCGCCGCCGCGGCGGGCCGCGGGCCCCGCGGGCCTCGCAGGCCGACACGGCCTCCCGGAGCCGCACGAGCACCTGCCTCTGCACCTGGCGGCCGCGCGCCGCACGTGGCCGGCGGTGGCGGCACGGCTGCCTCCTCGCCGCCTGCTCTCCCCGCGCCGCCGTCGGCAAACTATCGAGGGCATCTGCGGGGGGGGGGGGGCAGGAGGGAGGAGAAGGGGGGAGCGAGGAGGGGGTGGGCGGGGGAGGGAGAGAGGAGCGAGAGGGGAGGGGGGGGAGGAGGGACCAAGGTGGCGCCGGGTCGGACGAGGCTGCTCCCACATAACCGAACCTTTCCCAGGGCCCTCCCCTTTCGGCTCGCGCCTCCAGCCTCGCCATGCTGGCGATCCGAATGCCGTCGGCCGATGAGAGAGCGGACATGGTAAGTGTGGCTCCGCTTGCTATGACGGAACAAGATAGGGAACAACATCACATGGGAACAATGGCAACGCCTGCAGAAGCAGAAACGGAATATCCAGACGCGACGAAGCAGCAGCGGGAGGATCATGCACACCAGCAGAGCACAAGGAGGGAGCAGGAAGAGGAAGACGAGGGGGAGAAATGGCCAACTGGAAGACGATGAGGATAATGGGAAATGAAAAAGGTGATGCAAGTGATGAGAGCAGCGTATTTTTGCTTCTAACTCGTGAGTGCCGCTCGTTTGGCGGAACTTGCGGTACGGGGTCATCATGGCCCGCGCCCAAATCCCAACGTTAGCAATCATGGCTGCACGGGTGAATTCTCAAAATGAGGAGAACTGGGGCGCACAAACGCCATGCCCAATTGACTACTCCGGACTCGTTGACAACAGGCACCCCGGACGCACACCCCGCTGGAAGGAGGCGGGGACCTCAAATCCATTCGCTGCCTGGCCGTCCAAGCTTGCCGTCCGCGCTTCGACCTTGGAATGGCAATTCTCAAGAAACTGTCTGCGCTCGGTCTCAACATCACTGGCCTCCTTACCAACTAACTTTACCATCAGGCGGGGCGATCAGAACAGCGGGAATGGGCGGCCTCCATGCGCTGGTACGCCCTTGGACGGGCGCTCGTTCCCACCACTCCGCATCAATTCACACGAGTGTCGAGGAGAGGTGAGCCACTCACCCCTGCGCATGCGGGATATCGAATGAACAGAGATCCCAGGAGCGTGTTGGAGACGCAAACCAGCAACCGTGCGTTTTGCGTTCACACCGAAAATGCATGTCTCGAAAACCAGCACTGCCTTTTCGACGGCAGGCATGATGGGGCTCCTGCACAAGCATCGAACGCTCTTGATCGTGTGCTGGTCCTTGGGGGGAGCGGGGGTTCTTGAGGGCCCGTGAGCGGCGTCGCCTGCACGAAACAGACGCGGTCAACGTAGGGGGCTGGACATGGCACGCACCTCTCGGGTACGAGTCGGACGCGCCTGAACCTGAGCCACCCAGACAAGAGAACGTCGGTGCTCATGCGCAGCTGAATGTGTCAGAGCTGTCACGAGCTGTGGCGGAACTGGCGACACACCTCGCGCAGTACCCATCGACGCAGTCCAACTCATCCATGTCCCCAGATGGTCCATGGCACAATGAACGCACAGAACCAATTCGAAACACAGGATAAAATATGCATAGATTCTGCACGGATTTGGAAGCTCTGGATCAATCCTGAAAGTTTTAGCACCAGATCAGTAAGCGAGCAAATGCCTGGCATTGGGAGGGTCCTCAGCTCTATTGCAAACTGCTAGGCCATTGAAAATTAGTGGCGCTAACGGTGCCGACTAGCTCGTGTCTTCTGCTTCAGCAAGGCTGGCTATTTGTCTTCTCTGGCGGTCATCACCAGCAGCGTTGAACTGATGGTCAGACTCTTTCTGGCGATGGACGACCTGAGCAACGCAAACATGACCCACCACTTTGCGTTCCTGCTGAAACATGTGACGCTGTGTGATGTGGTACGTTGCCCAGGCCATGGTGCAATTTGCCCGCGGAGGGGACGACACTGCGGTCGTTGCCCGACAGCGGCAGCGAGAAGCGAGGATGTTCCTCGGTGGCCCATTTGCCAGAGACTGCTCGGGCACCACCGACGGGTTACCCCGAACGAGGGGCCTGCCTGTGTGGGTGAGCAGGCGGCCGCAATAGGCCCTGTTGAGGGGGGCCAATGCCAATGCGGGCACCAGGAAGGGAAGGCGTGCAGTGAGATGCGCTGCCCTGGCGGGCGCGAGGATGCCACACCCTCGCGGCCGCCCTCAGGCGGCGCAGCGCTGCCGCGTCGAGCGGCGGCTTCCTGGCGGCACGGTGCTCAACGGCGGCACGCGTGGGCGAGAGGTCCACCACCGCACGCAGCATGACGCGTGGGCCTCCGCAGGGAGGCTTGTGGTGTGGACGAGAGCTGTGTGGCGATAGCTTGGAAGGCGACGGCAAGCGGGAAGCAGTCTGCGTATCGATGACCCTCAAGGCTTGTGTCAGCGCAGACGTGTGCGCGTCGCAGACGGTGTAAGCGCACCTCGGCGCACGTCACAGAGTGCCACGGCACGCCAGTGGGGCGCAGGTGCTGCACGTCGATTTGCGCGCAAGGCGCTCTGCTGACTCATGCCAGATGGGTCGCAGACGACTTGTGACTTTGCACTCCCACCGCGCCTACTCTATTCCACCTCGCCTATCCCTCATCTCTTCCCCCTCCCCACTCTGCGCGGACCCACAAAACAAACTGTCGACGCAACCTACAACTTCCAACGAAGCACATACCGTCAATATGGGAGTTTGTCGACAAAGGCCAAACTGCAAGTTTGTTTATGTCCATTCGACGGGCGTGAAGCCCCGTTGCTCTCGTAGCGCAACTTCCACGTAGGCGTTCCGTCAGCAACTGGAGCGCCCGCTGGGGCCGATGTAACCTTTGAGCAACCGACAAATCCACATGGGCCGCAGGACCCACTGCGGCGTGGGTGCAAGATGGGCATCGCGACTTTTGCACGACACATCGAAACGACAACGCATGCGGGCCATCGATGAGGCTCGACAACTCTTCCAAACCATACTGTTGGAAGACAAAAGCAAAGTGTCATCGAATGATGTAATCTGGATAAGCACGCACACATATTGGGATACAACACGTTCTGAAACGAGCTTAGCGGCTGCGGCGACAGCACGCTACTGCATGCAATATTTCAACCCTGGTGGCACTAGCGGCTACTGGAGGGCTCGACGGCATACGCATGCAGAGAGCTCCCGAAACAGCCAGGAAAATCACAACAGTGGTGATGTGTGGTTTTCCTGCCAGACGCCGTCGCTACCGCTGGTGTCTCATCATCATCTGGAAGACTCCTCAGGTGGCCAAGCCTGGCCCAATGACAGCGTCATGAATCTGGTACATTTCTATTCCAGCTCGTGGTGGAGCGTGATTCACCAACCTTGACATTAGCATGTCGCCCTGTTCTGGCGATGCTGGCGGAGGTGTAGGAATTGCTTTACCTTTTGCGTCATGAACATGCCCTGGTATACTTTGATACGGCAAGTTCGCGTCGTGACGACCCCAGCGCTGGTTTCCGACACCGCGTGGATCGTTCAACCTCGAACGATCGGCGGCTCTTCGATCGCCCGATCGTTCCATGTACGCCGATTCTGGGCCACTGGCGGCGTTCAACCTTGAACGCCCGCGGCGGGGTCGCCGCTGGTCGATACGACGCGAACCTACCGTACCGAGGCTGCCCGGGAACTCGTCTGGGGAGGGTATCATTGAAAATACGTGCGTTCGCGCATCAACTCGTTACAATCCATGTCTGTATCGATCGCCTGCCGCGGCGGCTGGAGCATGCCGACCGTGTGAACAAACATGTCGCGAGTCTGCATGAGCAGCAGCAGGGGGTATCCGTCCATATATTGCAGCAGAAGGGCCAAGACGCTTGAAGCCAAATTGGGATGCAACTGGTGGCCACAAGCGACAGCACAACTTGATGTCGAGCAACAGGTCTTACGAAGAGGAAAGGGAGCACCGAACATATACGTACTTGTTTCCATCAAAAAGAGCGTCATGGCCTTGAACCGCAGCTGCTCCAAACCATTCCAGGCACCACGGCCAGGACCCTGGAACGCAGCTTCGACAATTAGCAAGCACATGAACAGAGCGCGCCTGACGGTGCACAAGAAATTCTACAGCAATGCCTTGGGTAGGACGTACACAAACAAGCGCCCTGGGCTGGCGGCCTCGAGAACACTGACAGCCAAGGCACTTTTGGCCCTGAGGCGGGATCTGGTCACCAGTTCCGTGCGCCATCGTCAGACTTGAGCCAAACTGGCTACGTACAGGGGAGGCGCACGAGGAGGAGAAAGGCGAGGAGCACCGACCATTGACTACCTACCAGACCACCCCACCCCAACCCGAAAACCCGAATTTGACCCGAATTTCGGGTGGGGGGGGTTACGGGTTCCATGTGCTTTTTCAACGTTCCCCGACCCCCCCCCCCACTGGAAATGGAGGGCGAATTGAGGCCTTCGGGTTGGGTTGGGGTGGTTTGGTGGGTGGTGAACCATGTCTTGCCCGCTCAGACCTGCGTCGGAGGCACCAATAGGGAAACGAAAAACGACATAAACATAAAAACTCGAAGGTCCGCGCGGATTTCTCGGATCGGCGCTGGACCCCCCTCCCTGGCGCGCGGAGCGCGCCAGGGGCGGCGCTGGAAGCGCCGCTAGGGGTGTCCAGCGCCGGTCCGATAGGGAGCCAGATGCGAACCCTACCTCCAAGATTTCTGAGGTGGAGGGTGGGGTTCACTTCGTTCGGGAGCTCCCGAGCTAAGTGAACCCCACCCTCCCCCTCAGAACTCGTAGGGGGTAGGGGTAGGGTTCGCAAGTGGCCCCCTATCCGAGAAATCCGCGCGGAGCGTCGAGATGTTATGCTTACGTCATTGTCCGTTCCCCTAAGCACGCAGGCGGAAAAATCTGGCGGCCGAGCGCGCGGGCGACGGGCCGAAGCTACCGGGCTCGCGAGGGCGGCGCAGCGCTGCTGGTGGCGCCAGGAGTCGTCGTCGGGCCTCCGCGCCCCGCGGCCGAGCCGCGGCGGGCGAGGGGGGGGGGCGTCCCGGGCAGCCTCGGGAGCGCGCCCCCCCCCCCCCCCTGCCCCCCACCCCCTCCCCTGCCCCTCCTCCTCCTCCTCCTCCTCCTCCTCCTCCTCCTCCCTCCTCCTCCTCCTCCTCCTCCTCCTCCTCCTCCTCCCCCCTCCGCCTCCCCCGCCCTTCCTCTCCCCCACCCCCACTCCTCCTCCTCCGCCTCCGCCTCCTGCCCTCCCCCCCCCCTCCTCCTCCGCTCAACGGCAGGCAGCGCTGGAAGGCACAGCTGCGGGGTGCGTCTGGACTTGGTGGGACCCTCGGCGGGCCGCTCCAGGGCTCGGTGGCCACAACGAGGGGCCCACACTGGGCCCGGAGGCATCCAGATGCAGCGCGAGAGCTCCGAGGCTGGAGCTCAATGCGGCACTGGAGATACAGTCGGGGCGTTGACATAAGGAACGCGGCCCCTTGTTTCCATAAGTTGACCTTCGATTTCCCGTCGAAAACATGAGGAAAGCCTGAGGCAAGCTGTGAAACACTTAAGGAACGCGAAGCCCGTCCCCAACGATAAGGGTTCCTTCTTCAGGGCCCCGACTGTACCTGCCTCGCCGGAATATTTGGGCCATTCGAGCGCTTCGCCGGACATATAAGAAACCTGCACCAACAACCTGGGCATGCCGTCGTCGGCTAACACGTATGCCCGCGCACACACACCAACACACACAATGCATGGGTGTCTGGAGCTGGCTCTAGGAAATTCTGGTTGGGGCACGTGGACGCAATCGTTACGAACGAGTTAGGCTTTGTGGTCGGATTCTGTGGGCAATGTTCATAACCACGACCAAATATTCATAACTATTTGAATTGACACAGAGACCCGTCCAGTCCGCCTGCACGACCAAAAACTCGACTCATGTCCCAAGCCCCACGCAAATCAACACCACGCGGGCAGCACTGGCTGCTACTGGTTGTGCCATTCGTTGCGCACTCAGCGGCGGAGAATAAGATTTGGCCTCCAATTGAATGCCTGATAACGCGGGCGTCCAGTCAGTCAGCCAGCCCAGTCCACCTCGCGAATGAAAACATATCAGGCGATGCCCGAAATGAACCAACGTTCCTGTGGTGGACGGCTGGCCAGCGCGAAAGCATGTGCCCGATTTACCCACCCAACTGTGATACAATAATTGGGAATAGAACGGCAATGCGACGATGGTGTTTTGGCATCCAGGAAGCTGCCCGGGAGGTTGTCACACCGAACGGTCTGACACTGTCCTGGGCGCGTGGTTCCGCAATGCGGGTTGCAGTTGCTTTTGTCGTCCTCGCCCGCTCCAAGACCCGCGATCCACCCGCGACCCCCCCACCCTCCCCGCGGCCCACATCCGCGACCCACACGCGCGACACACCCACACGTTTACCCGCGGCGGGCTGGTTGTAGAGAAACCGTGTGTGCCTACGACGGGCTGCTTCAGACTGGCGTCGTAACTTCGCGAGCGCCGGGGACTTGCCAAAGGATCCGCGCCCCCCGCGGGGTTTAGATAGCGCCACTGGCACTCAAGCACGAAACTCTGGCAAGCTTGTCCAAATACTCCCTCCATATCATCCGCAATTGTGGGGCTTCGGTGCTCGCCGTTGACAGAAGGGGGAATCCAGTGAACAACCTGCCAAGGAAATCTCCGCATTGCTACAGCTGTTCGTTGTCTTGCGGTGGCCATCTCCATGATGAGAACAACTACCTCTCGCTGCCTCTCCATGCCGTCGTTCGAAATATCAACTTCTTGCTGCCAAAACAACCATCACCACAACTTAGTAGATTGTCCCGCTGTAGTACATCGACTTGGGGCTGGCCAGGGGCAACATATCAAAAGCTTCAGAACACTAAACGTACATCGCATAACAAACGCCATGATTACCCGACGCGCACCCGCGTAAAACAAACACAACCACCTTTTCGACAAGCACCCTGTTTTCACCAACCATTCCACAAAAATGGCACGAACTAGATTAGAAACACGATAACACAACGCCCAACGTCCCATTAGACGGACTGGGGAAGAGAAGTGCTAGACACATTACGCACTCGCCAGGGGAACAGAGGGGAAGAAGGCATAACAGAAAGACAACTTATACCAGAAAGATACAGAAGAAGACGAAGGCGAAGGAGGGGCCACAGAGGATGAGGAGGGGGGAGGACAAAGAGAGGAGTGGATGAGATAAGTCGAAACAGGAAGGCGCCTTCAGCAAGCACATGGCCGAATCGATCGGTGCCGCGCGCAGCCAGATCTCCAGCAAACGTTCCCAAACGATGGCAACAACGTTTTGCA